CAAGCGTAATTAATATTAAAGAGTATAATCGTAAATAAATTTTATACTCTTAATTAATATATTTTGACTCACATTTAATTTAGTAGCTACTTAAACTATTATCATACTCGTCGTACTTCGCCCGGTCGACATAGTCGGCCGGGCTCAGCACAACTGCTCTAGTTTACCTCTATGAGAAATAAATATAGTCATAACATTAATATTTGGTGCTAACGCATCTTCTCTTTTTTACCTAATTGGTAAAATTATATAATAAAATAACAGTTTGCTGACAAGAATAAGAATGAAGTTGTGAGGAACAATAGTAGTATTGTATTTATTTTATTCATCTCTCATTTCGTATTTTTCTTTTACAAATAAACTTTTACATTTTTATTTTTTTATACTATAATAAAATCTCCAATTTGTAATGCTCATAAAGCTGTTAGAAAGTCTCCGAACTAGATCCTATTCTCGCACTTTGGCTATCACTTTTTTTACCAAACAAAACGTAACAAATTAGAAAACAAATAAAATTGCTCAACGTCGTTTTGTTCACCCAGCATAATATTGTGAAATAAATTGACCTCAATTCTTCGCACTATTCAAACATGCCGCGCTGTACTAATTGTAAAAAGACTCTGCCAGAAAACGTTTTTAAAAAATTCAATAAGACCCTATCCAAAACGTGTGTTCAGTGTCTGGATAAAAGAAAAAAAAGACATATTATTCATAAAATTCTCTAAATTAATTAGAAGACAGTTATCGGAATATCAGGATATTCAAACTGTACATCGTTAGCTATTGTCATCCAAACTGACAAACGTTGAAAACAAGGAGGAAGTCCATATTGATGAACTGTCTCAACTAATTAGCGAATTAGTGTCGGGAAATAATTTGTTTAAACTTGACTTAGACGTTATATTTGACAATGATGAAGGAGAGAACTCTGTTTCCCAGATTGCTGAGAGAATTCGAGATGAAGTTGCAGAAGGTGACGGATATAAATGGAAGTAAGTATATACTACATTATTTTAATGTAAGGGCTTTAAGAATAACTTATTGATTAAAATTTATTCAGCAAGTGGAAGACAAACAATTCCGCGTGTGACCCAAGGAATATCGCTACCGTTTACTATAACTGAAGTCAATCAAATATTCTTGATAATTTCAGAGATACAAATCGAAAACGAATCAAGCGATATGAATGTAAAGGGCAACTTATCGTTCGAATCAATATAACAAGTGCACATGCTCGCGTATCATGAACGGCCGGACATATCCACTGGAGTGTCAAGCAAAGTTGTCAGTGAAATACGAAAAAATTGTTCCTTTCAGCTACGTACACATTTAAGTGCAGTCAGCAATTCTTCTGCTAGAGAAATATCAAGTAAAAAAATGCCGCGTTCTGATGTCAACCAAGACAGATGTCCTGACTGCCATCGCCTTCTCAACGCCAATAATAGCACACGCACCAAATGTCAAAAAAATTTATATCGATGCCACATATAAAACTGCAAAAAAACGTTTGAACTTTACGCAATAGTTGGTCAATTTCAAGATTCTGGGTATGCCCTTGGCTATTTTATCTTAGATGCGCATCAAGACATTGAATTAACAAAAATAACAATTTTGACTGAATTTTTTAATCACATTCAAACCATTGGGTTATATCCGAAATTTATTTTTACTGACAAGGACTTTGCCGAAATTAATTTTGCTAAAGTTGTCTGGAGAGAGTGCCATATTCAACTTTGTTTATGGGCACATTAAGAAAGCTATAATCACGAAAATCAGATCTCGTAAAATTTTCGTTTATCGATCCAACCTTTCTTCCCGACATGGAACAATCTGTGCTATCTCAGCCCAAAAGGAAGTCTCGGATATTATTCAAAAGCATTTTCATTTGCATCCGCTCATTCCTGTCGGTAAGAATGGAACATTTTTAAATGCCGATGAAATTTGGAAAAGATTAGTTAGGGAAATGTATGACTTTTGTAAAAATAATAATAATCCCATGGCATTATGTCTATTTTTTATGGTATACTAAAAATCTCTGGGAGTTGTGGCAAGAAGTTATTATCCAAGAATACCTTTTGGTATGGTAGAACTAACATGATTATTGAAGGTCCTCAAGCGCAATTACCTATCTAGTTTTCATTGTCTTGTACGTACTGTGTAAAAAGCTGCTTCCTGCACAATGTAATCGATTCTATCAATTATCCAATGAAAGAATACGTCCGCATTGGTGGGAGGATTTCAAAAAAGAATGGAAACAATGTGTCTTAAAAAGCGTCGATGAGCACATTGCTGGATCGGTATTCTGTCGATTCTGATAAATGATCTGTAGTTGTCTCTCATATCTTCAAAATCGATTCTGATATGCAAACATTTGGTTAAAGCTATGGTGGAACACTGAATCGTCTAATATAAAGACTTTAGACGTAGTTACCAGTATCCCTTCTTGGTATGGAAACCCCTGAAAAATGCCGGATTACCAATTCTCGATAGTAGTTCGAGCTCCGCTGACGAGAGAATAGAAAGAAACAAAGTAGAGTTAGACGAACAATCACCACCTATTACCAACGAAGAATTTGAGAAAGGAATGTCCGAGCTAGAAAAATACTTACAGCATATGTGTGAAGAATTCGACACTGGCGACTTGAGACACCCTAAGGACGTTAATGGATGCTTCAAAAAAGCCCGTAATATGATGGTAAACATGAAAAAGAAAGGTAAAAACGTGTAAGAGAACGTACATGGAAGGATTCAAGGCCACACACAATGTTTTTGCCAGATTAAACGTGTACTTAACCTAAGTTAGCGTTGCGATGTGCGCGATACTCAAATGTAATATTTTCCATAATATTTAGTCAATGTTTGTACTATTATTAATAATAAAGTCAATATATACATATTAACTCTTATGCGAATTTGATGCAGTATTGGACATACGTATTATCGCAAAATGTTAACATTATTATACATAATTATCCACTCAATTATCCATATTTGACGCAATCTCGACGTAGTATTAGCAGCCATTTAATTCGGACTTCCAAGTTGAGAGTATAGTATCGATATACGATTAATATAGTAAAATAGTTAAAGTTATCGTCTAAAAAAATTTATTTAAACAACCAATAAACTGAAGATTGTCTGTTTTGTTATGCTGACATATCGGGTCAGTTGTTATCGTCCTAATTTATTACTTTTTACGGAAATTTTATCAAAATCAATGATCAACCAATCACATTTCGATCCATGCGGGAGGTCGCTGTGTGAGTTATCAGACATGGTAGCGATTTGCGCTTACGGAACAGATTCATCATTGTAAATTCGTGCGACATAAGTCACGTGGTATGCGAACTTTAGTTCGATCTGACGAAAGGCTCTATCAAAATTTTGTAGTCCGGATACACTAATACTAGTCTCGCTAAAGATTACCGGTTACACAAAATATTAAAGTAAACGTTGGCGTCGTCTATCAGTTACGAATACTCGGACACAACATAATAAGTAAATACTCAATAAACCATTAATTAAAATATATGGTATGTTAGCAATGCAAACGAAACGGTTGATTTATATATGCAAGGAATCTATTTTGAATTTAGTAGAGCCAGTGTTGCTAGAGTATACTCATTCTTACAACAGTACTATGATTTATACGCAGTGTACTGTTAGAATTATCCGTAATACTTTCCCTGATAAAGCTGTGGATAGCCCATGCAGCAAAACGCCGAACTTGTTTCTTTATACGTTTTATCAGATATTCAATCAGGCGTTCGCAATTGCTTGTCCACGCAAATATTGCCTACCATATCTTGGTCGAATTCTCTTTCTAAGGCGGCTACCGCTCTTAATTCAATAAACGCCAGCTGATTTTTGAGTAATTCGTTGTTGCTAATTCACTGTCAGATTGAATTTTTACATTCACAGATCATCAACTCATTCTACACGTAATGCATAGTAACTTTTTTGTATACTCGGTAAAATCAATTTTATAATCGTAATATAAATTTTTTTTTTAAATTTTGCCAATACCATCGTTCTACTTATGACAACTTTTACTGACCGACAAATAATAACATTAATGTTCTGACCCAAATCGAAATTCGGAATAGGGTCGACCCAAATCGCAATTTGATTTGGATCGGCATAAGCTCAGAGTGATATCTATGCGATATAATCACAAAATTTATGCACAACGATCGGACACATACTGCACAACACAGGGTACACGGCAGGTTATATGTTAAGAGTAATAGTTTCGATGACAACGTTGACTACAGATACTATTCACTCTTA